TCAGTGACTTCATATAAACCGTAACGTGTGAGTTGTTAAAATTTAAGAATACAATTTTTTTGAGGAAAAAAAAATCAGTAGTAATCGAAGATATTATTTACACTGCAAGTTTTCAATTTTCAACCTAAGGAGTATCTTTCTCGCAATCGAATTGTTCAAACAATTTATGTAAGGAGGCTGTTAATAGAAACCAATGTTCGTATGTCTACACATCGTAGTTCTCTAATTACATACCAAACCACCCATGTCATCGTTATTACATCATATTGCATTAAATTCCATTGCATTCTTCCTGATTTGGTAAACAAAACAGGCTGTTTATTTCTCGGACGTAGGTAATTCGATATAATTTCTTCACAACTTGTTTCTCACGACATTCTTCAGGAATTTTTTGGCATGATCTCACCTGATCCTTTTTTTGTTGAAAATTTTTTTAAATGAGTTGGGTCTTAAGAGCTCCTCAGGACATGCCTTCGGGCTGAGAAAGTACTTATAAAAGTATTTACAGATCACTCACCAACAAAATCCTTACATCGGTAGTGGGATTCAAATTCCTAATTTTATAAGTTATAAACTGACTCCTATATTACGGGACTAACTCTTATTAGTATGATTTGATTCCTTCCAATAATTAAAAGTGATTACTAAGTTGGACGCCTCGTTCTTTTAACAAGTTTAGTAATATCAGATGCTTGTGATTTGCAATTTGTTCTCTTAACAAGTTGCGCATAGATTTGTGTGAATAGAGATTGGATTCCAAGACCATGAGCAAATTCACATCCAATGTCAATTGTCCTCAATCTATTTTGAAGATTTCAATTTTTTATTTTAAAATTTTAGAAGTTTTTAGTTTATTAGGATTACAATGTTAAATAAACATAATTTTCTAACTATCCCATTCTTGAAATAGAATTTAATCCTTAAAAAAATTGAAAATCTCATAATTTTGACCTCTTTGTTTGGAGGGAAAGAAATGATGGAGGAAAGAAACATTTTCCCTGGTAGAAAGTATCTCATGGGTTACCTATATAAATAATATATACTCTTCCAGTTCTTAATATAAGACCCGTTTAACTAATTTGATTAGATTAAGGAAGTCAGGTAAGTTAGTTACTTATAAGAAATGCGATATATCTTTTTTAAAATACCATAATCATTTTCTTAATACCCTTCTTCCATTTCTACTTGATTATGGTTGAGAGAATATCCATATGGGTAATTTAGAGAAAATTGATAAATATGAGAAATGTGTCTTATATTTAGGATCAAAACTAACTCAACAATTGGGTCCTATTATTAACCGGAGGAGTATAAGCATATTTTTTTTCCTTTTTTTTTTTCATGTTCCCTAGCCTTATACAAAGCTCTAACTTCTTTCATCCATCAAGTTTTCATTATAACAGCCTCCAATATATTTGATAATATGACATATCTTGTTTGAAACATTACCCTTTTTGCTTAGTATTTCTATCCAACCGCAAAATTTTCTAACTATTAATCAAGTTTCTTTTTAATTAGTGATTTTTATCAAGAACAATTTTGAGATTTTAAGATTTTTTTAAAAAAAACTAATTTTAACTTTCTTAAGTTATGTAAAGTATTTAATTGAAGGACACAAAATAAAACAAGAGAAAATGATATTTTTCTCACTTGTCCATTGTGTCTTTTCTAAGTTAATTTTAATTTTGTTCCCTCCCATCCTTCTTATTCATGGATATTGACATATTGTTATCAGCTTAATGACATAAGATTGTATAATTAGGACCTAGGAGTTTGCAGCTCCTACTTGTAGCACATCAGGTTGTTAATGCTAACCCTTAAATTTTTTCTGCAGAAAAGTTGAGTGAATTCAGTAATGGTGACTCATGATGGGCCATCTCGTTTGGACCGAACTGGCCAACTGGGCCGTCTTCCTAGCCCAGAGTCAGCTCATTTTCCATGAACTTCCATTGCAACTCATAGCATAATTAGTAACAGGACTGAGTCTAGCACAAAAAATTAATCCCTCACAGCGTAACAAATAAAGATTTGAATCTCCGCTGATAGAAGTATTCACATTTAGTACCTGACAGTATTTTTAATAAGATTGTCTCTATGAGGGAGGATCTATGTTTTATGCTTTAGCTAAAAAAAGAAAAACCCGTAGCATAATTACGTCAAGATCCAAAAGTATCACAAGTATAAGGTCTTCCCAACAACTTTAACTCCACAAAAGTCACAAATGGAGTATGAGAAACCCCAACACTTTTCCTCTCGTCGACCGCAACGAGTGCAGAAAACGAAAGTATAGCCTTCGACAAAATTTCCAGCAACATGAGTATAGAGTAACCTGAACTATTGGCATCAGAAGACTATGTATCTTTAGACGGCACTTAACAACGAGTTTTTAGTGCCAACTATAAAGATTGATATAGTATTACTTAAAATCTCAGGACAATGTCACAACTTGAGATCTCTGTATAGACTAACCTGTTTTACCTTAACATAAAAATAATCAGTAAAGATTAAGACCGTACTTCAATACCATGAATCCGAACACTCTTGATGAGAATATTATGAGAATAAATAATCGATACATAAAATCAGAATTCGTCAACCTGATTAAGGTTTCAAGCAGAAAACTAAGTGTATCCGCACTGCTTTGACTCGGAAGCTGCTTCTGCACAGGTGATTTTCGTCAGCAAACAATGTAGTTGCTTTTGTAATCATGAGGTTCTCTCCATACGGCACAAAAGAAAAATAGAAGATCCTCGTTCATGCAGATCCATCATATGAATACAAAATCAAATTCCAAGAACCAATCTATTATGCACTGGCATCCACAACACTGAAATTTCTATTCATAGCATAATCCAGAAAACCATACAGAGGAAAACACTCGTTCCTGGTACTTCTGATGAAACCCATCTAATTCTGCCTTGGCTTTTGCTTTAAGCTCCTCAGCTAACTCAACTGCTTTGTCTATTCCATAAATCTCCACATATAACTCTTCCCTCTGTTTTTTGTCTCACTTTCCTTTTCGATTTTGTTTTTGTTCTCAAAATATCATTTACAATTGCGTACAATACTCCCACAGCTCTCCCATAGCTCCTCAATCTCTCAATGTCATCGTCTTCAGCACACCAGCAATAAGTCCTCCACATACTGCAGAACACTCCCCCATTTCACCATACTTCTTCTCTTGGATGAATCCAACTTCACTAGGCCCACCTTCAAGGTCGAGGACTGCCCAGCAGCCATGCGGTGGAGCCTACAGAACGGGCGATCTCGGCAATCACGCGGAGGAGCTGGGGCTCAGGCACAAGGTCAGAGGGAGTGTGGGAAACAATGTGACGAAATCCCAGCGGAAACAGAGCATCACCCGCGAGAATGGCCATGTCAACAACCATGGACGGTGTGGTTGAGGGCTGGCCTCGACGAAAGGCCGAGTCATCCATGCAGGGTAAGTCATCATGGATCAATGAAGCTGCATGAACCTGTCAGAAATAAACCATCCATTCTAACTCAGACTTTCATGCGTAAGAATTACGCCAAACTGCAGTTACAAAAATTAAGTTTACAGAACCGACTTTCGCTATAAAAATTAAGTCAAACTTACTTTTCATAACAATGAAATGATAATATATCGTAATAATCAAAGATTCTTTTGTTCGAGGTCTTTTACCAGTGTCATTTTAGGTGAAAATTCCTTTCTTTTATAAGCAGATGCAACTAGAAAAGAAGGAGTAAGAAACAGCAGGTATTGGAGCAACAATCAAAGGAATAATCAAACCACACGAATGTTATTTCTTTTGCGCCCAGAACAAGCAATTGCAGTAACTGTTAGATAAGAAGCGTAAACGAACGAAGGATATATAGGTCTGATTCGTAAAATTATATGCAAATAGAAAAGGTAAAGAAGAGGACCATTTCGAGGGCGCAGGCGGTGGGAAAGGCGGCACGGCGGTGGGCGCCGAAGAGTTCGCAGGTGGCGATGCACATGACAGGAGCGGAGCGCTTAGCACCTTTAGCAAGGACAGAGTACCTCATAGCTTCATAGATCTGAGGAGGGAAGTTGACGGAATAGCTTCGTCAAGCTTGAGATTGATCTGAGACATGAGAGAAGTCCAGTAGGACTTCAAATCGAACGAAACGGAAGAAACTGAGGAGGAGGGGGAAGAAAAAAGCGCGAACTGGACGGTGAATAAGCTTGGGGGGCTTTCGGGGGAGCCATAGGTGGGAAGAAGAAGGAACCATTGCAAAGGAAGGCATATCGTCTTGGAAATTGCAGATAGGAATTTGGATAGAAGAAAACAACGAAGAAGAAGAAGAGGGAAATGGAAAAATTGGCAATGGGATTTCCGTAAGAAGAAAGGCACGAAACGGCGAGAGCATTTCCATTTGAGGATGACGATGATGACTTGTGCTCTGCGGTTCTTACACGTGTCCAATCAATTTCCATCACAACCGTCCATTTTTCATAAGCAGCGGCTCCCCGTTTTTGTGAAGGGACTAGCTCGAGCCTAGAGGCTAGAGCCCCAGGATCAGATAAACTTCGACACGTGTCCATTGCCTTTGAATTCTCATTTTCTTTAGGGCCATTATTACCCCCACGCCAGGCATTTAATTCTCCAATAAGCAGCCGTCAAAAACCACTCACATTCAATTAGTGGAGAAAAACACTAAAAAAATAAATCACTCAATTTAATTTAATTTAATTGTTCTTTCTGGCCGTTCCAACTTCTGAGATTGCAAAACGCCGTTATCTCCTTCACTCCTTCGCTCTACTTCTCTCCCTGCCCATGAATGCGAATTTCGAATCCCTAATTCCCTCCGACGAGCAGATGGCACTTGGCGGCGAAAAATCCTTTTTGCCGTTCGATATTATCACCAACATTCTCAAAAGGCTTCCTGTCAAATCCATTGTTCGATTTCAGTCTGTGTGCAAAGCATGGAAAAGTCTCTTCAAACCCCATCTTTCATTGCTGAGCATGCCCGCCACTCTGCTCAGGAAAACCCTTTTCTTCTCATCCATGCATACGATTACAACTACAGGCGTCTGTCCTTACGGTTGCTTAATCATCAGATGGAAACTGTTGAAGTTCTGAGCACACTCTTTATCGATTCCTTCGGACGTGGTTGGAGAATCATTGGTTCTTGCAATGGCTTGCTTTGCGTGGAACTCGATACTGATCAAGGAAGGTTTCCTATTTCACTTTTGCTGTGGAACCCAGTGACCAATGAGGTAAGAAAGGTACCCCAAACAATATATGATTATCATCACGTTTCCGCCGTAGGATTTGGGTTCAGTAGCGTTGTTAATGATTACAAGATAGTGAGATTTTATCACCCATCGTTGCTTAACAAGAAGGAAGCTCAACACTTGTATCGCAGCAGGCTTTACTGTGTGCAAGTATATTCATTAAGCACAGGTTCATGGAAGGAACTAGAAATGGGGGATTTACGGCATACACAATTTCTCCCCGGAGCTGTATGTGCTAATGGAACTATTTTTTGGTATGGACTGGGGCTTTTTAAAAATATGTTAGTTTCGTTCGACATAGCAACGGAAGTGTTTACACTAACACCAATAGATACTTTTATTCTGAAGCTGAGTATGGTCTTTGTCCATTTAGGCTTGATGTGTACGGAAACAAACTTGCTATGTGTGATGGTTACTACGTTGAGGCCGAAGACTCTAAAACTTATTCCATTGATATGTGGGTGGTCGAGGAGGGTGCTAGTAAATCTGGGAAGAGTTATAGTTGTACTGAGAAATGTAGGATTGGACCACTTTCAAATGTTTTACGGCCCTTGTGTATTTGGAGGAATGGAATAGTCTGCTGTAAAGAAAAAAGTGAAGAAAGTGAGGCTGAGGTGGGGGCTGACTCAGGAAACTTACTATATCTGTTCAATGTCACTACTAAGGAATGGAAGAAGTTCCACAACTGTTCTGCTGCCTATGACCAGTGTGATATTTTTAATTATGAGAAAAGCCTTCTGTCTGTTTTGCAACATCTAGGTTGACTGATAGGCCTTTCTCAAGTAGGATCATTTCTGTATTCCACATTTCTTTTGTCTCAGTAATTTTAGTGGAAACCAATCCACATAACCTCTTATCATTTTGGTTGTACCTATAATACTTTATTCTGCGTTAGATTTGTGATCTGGAATGTAGAAATTCAGTACTAATAGTTCCAAACTTCATTTTAGCTTGCTATATTATCATATGATCAATTTTCTCGTATAAATATATAGTTCAGTTGCTGCTTTATAGTAATTTTTGGGCTATATTGGCTGCTTAACATGTCTAGAGGAATGAAAGGCTTGCATGACAGGCTAAAGCTTCTTGCTCTGTTATTTTTTATCTAAATCAAATGGAGTGATAGGTTCTAATACACAGCACAAGAGAGTGAACTGTTTGAATTGTTGCTTTGTGTTGCTGCTGCTGGATCTCAGCATTACACTTTAACTGTGCAACTAACTGTTTAAGTTGTTGCTTTGTGTTCTATGCTTAAACTGGTGAATCACATCACCATAGGCCTGGCATGTAACATGAAGGTCTTCCTATATTTATTAAATCTTACTATTGCAACTTGTGTATATGGATGTGATTTCTCATTGTATTTTCAAGTACACAGAGAGTCTTTAGGTCTGTTGATATTGATGCTCTTTATATTTGTCGTGGAAATGAATTTGTAAAAAAGCTCTCACATTTTAGTTGCCCCTATAATCTTAATGCCCTTTATATCAGTTGTCTATAATATATGTAGAAATTCAGCATCAGACGTTTCAAACTTTGGTTTTATTGTCTTTACTGTCTCTAAATGTGAAAAGATGGAATGGTAATCGCCTACGCAGGGCAATATTCGGAGGCCATGGCCTTATATTTTAAGAGAAATATTAACAGCTTGATTGAAATTGTTATTGTGAATAATGTAAGTTCTGATTCCATCATAATTAATTTACTTTTATTCATTCATTCTCGCCAAAGTATAATTTAGGATATTAGATGCATTTGGAAAAAAATATTTCAACATACAAAATATATCATAAACATTTTAAGATATTAATTGCAATGAAAAAATACTTTAAGATATTGGTTGTGCCTTAACTCAGAAAAACTGGCTACTAATGTTTCATGGTGTTATTATTATTATTTTTGCCAGCTTCATGGTGTTGTATATAGTAAAATGTGATGCCAAAAATAATTATAGTAGAACATATTTTAATATATTACTCAAGTTTTTTATGATTATTTTGATTTTTCAACTATTAAAATTTCAAATATACATCTATTTGATATTTTTAAAAGTGTCAAGGTATAAATTTGTTCTAAAAAATTTCACTTAGAAACTCTGGGTATTCATTAATTTTTTTTAGAGGAAATTTGTTCTGAAAATTTAAAATCAAAGTAATATTGTCCCGTATCATCACAAAATTAATATTATCTATTAAAACATAGAGCCGGAAAAATAGGTCTAGCCTATTGGGCCGAGCCCGTTTAGATCCTAAAATTATAAGAGTCAGGTTTAAAATTTTTCCCCTCAAATGGAAAATAGGCCCTGGAGGGCTGAAGGCTTAAAAGAGCCGGTCCGTTTATAATTTTTTTCCTCTTTTAAATTTTTATGTAATTTTAATATTATTAATTTTTTACATTATTAATAATATTTCAAATATTTAGTAATTATAATTTAAAATTAAATTTTACAGAATGATTTGATTTATTAGTTTTAAATAATAATTTATCCAATTAAATTTTTAAAAAATAGATTAACTTGGACTTTAATAATGATTTGATTTATATTATATATGTTGATATTTTTAAACTATATATATATATATATTTGATAATAGAATATTTTTATACTTACATAACTTGTGATTCTATAATTTGAATTAGAAATTCCTGAGTTTCAATAACAATGTTTCTCACATTAAAGTAAAATAATAGTTAGATTGCAAAATTTAAAAGTAAAATTCCTACAAAGAAGAAAAACTTGATATTTTTGTTACGAAAGAAAAGCATATTTATGAAAAAGAGTAATTGATTATAGTGATGATGAAGTTTCAAAAAATTAATGATAGTATTTATTTATCACATAATTGCACTATAAATAAAACTTTTGGATGTTGTTATCTCGTAATGAATATTTAGATGTTCTTGGATGTTGATGGATGTTTATACATAATGATATTTTGTATTTGTGATTTAATTTTATTCATATTTATGTCTTTTATTAACAATTTTATTGGTTTGTTTTCATTTTTTATAAAAAAATATGAGAAATATAAAAAATAGTATTTTTTTTTTCCTTAAACAGGCCAAAAGCCCCGTGGGCTGGCCCTGAACCCGTTAGCTTAAGGATCAGGGTTAGCAAATTAGGGTATTTTTAAAATTTTGGTCTTAGAAGGCCAATCCTTTTAAGTCGACCAGCCCTGAAAGGCCAGCCTTTGAGGGCCGGGCCAGTCCTGATTTCCACTTCTATTATAAAATAGTAACATTAACTATTAACATTTTTAATGATATAGGATAATACTATTACTATTTTAAACTTTCAAAGTAAATATACTCTCAAAAAAATTTTTAGATACCTAACGCTCATGAGTAAAAACTTTGGGACAAATTATACTTTAATCCATTTTAGAAATATAAATAACATCATTTCTTAAAATATTGGGAGGGGTACAGTTTTTCAGGGGTAAGATACTAGGATTAGATGATTGCTATTAAAATCTATTTAAATTAACTTTTCTTAAAATTATATCATTATCTTATAAAATATAATTTTAAGATAAGATAACATTTTCATGTTTCGGATTTAAGTGACATTCGATCTATAATTAAAACTTTTTTCTGCAAAAATCTATTAATTCAAAACGAGCAAGCAATATTTTGTAGTGCTATTATAGTAAAATATGAGGAAAAATTATAGTAAAACATGTTTTAATATATAGTATATAACTTTTTTTATCATTACTTTGATTGTCCACTGCCAAAAAATTTCAAATATTCGTACATTTGATATTGCAAAGACGTAAATAACACAATTCCTTATTGCTTAAGGTTACATACGGGTAGGATTAGATGATCTGCTATTAAAATTTATTCAAATTAACTTGAAATTGTATTTTCACTTATAAATATAAATTGTAACATAAAACTGTTGTTATAAAAATAAACAAATAAATTTAAACCGTTAAAACATAACATGCATAGTTCATAATTGCAATATAGAAGAAAGGGAAATTTTTTTATTTATAAAATATTATAGTAATAATTTTACAAAATATAAAATCTGAATTCTCCATTTAATTTAAAGATAGAAATGAAATTTAGGAAGACCAAAATAAAACAAAAGGAGGAGAGGATCTGCTTCCAACTTTCTTGATGATCGCTCCATATCTTAATGTGATTATTCAAATTGATTTTAGGCAAATCACATGCAATTTATATTTTTAACATTTTAGATACATTTTTATTTTAATAAATACATAATATAAAATAAAGTTAAATCCGAGATTCACCGAAGTAACGTATGAATAGATAATATGCGCACCTCTGAATCCCTTTCCTTAGCTCTTAAGCCAGTGATCGTCTCCTTCACTCCGATATGGCGATTGCAGGCGACAATCTTTGTCTGCCTCTGGAGATCATCCAAAACATTCTCAAAAGGCTTCTTCCAGTTAAATCCGTGGAAAGGATTGCAGGCGACAATCCTTTTCTGCCGCTGGACATCATCCGAAACATTCTCAAAAGACTTCCTGTTAAATCCCTCGTTCGATTTCGTGCTGTGTGTAAAGATTGGAAAAATCTCTTGGAATCCCCATATTTCATCGCAGTGCACTACCACCACTCTGCTCACAGCAACCCTCTTGTTATCTGCACTGATTTCAGTCCCAACCCTAGATATTCGCGCTTGTGTTTGGTTCCTTATAAGACGGAAACTGTGGAAGTTGAGAGAATACCCGCCATGGATTCCTTAAGGAATCTTGACCGCATCATTGGTTCCAGCAACGGCTTGCTTTGTGTGGTACTACTGAATGGTGTTTATAATCATTCCCCTCCTCCTTCGCTTTTGTGTTGAACCCAGCGACTAGAGAGGTAAGGCAAGTACCCAGGTCAGCGAAAGATAAGGCTCTGGGATGGGGATTTGGGCTTTGTCCTGTGGTTAGGGATTATAAGATAGTGAGAATTTATGCGACTAACCGTCCTTCAATCAAATTTGACGAGGACAGCCGTACTCACGGGGAAGTGTTTTCGCTAAGAACGGGGTCCTGGAAAGAAGTGGAATCTGGGGCTCTACGGCGGCTTCGAGCATTTCCTTGTCACCCTCTCACTTTTAATGGGGCTATATTTTGGTTGGGATGGGGTGAAGCTTCCGTCAAGATAGTTTCATTTGATCTAACAATGGACGTTTTTACATTGATACCAACACCTTTTTTAATCCCTCTTCGTACTAATCCTTCCTCTCAAATTGTGTTGGATGTGTATGAGAACAAAGTTGCTGTGCTTTTTCAATACGGAGATAGGCTTAAACCTAGTTTTATGGATTTATGGGTGTTGGAAGAGGGAAGTGGTGCATGTGGAAAGAGTTGGGGGTGGACTAAGAAATATAGTATTGGACCAACTTCATGGGGCTTAAGTCCGTTATACTTTTGGAGGAATGAAATAGTCTTTCGATACATACATGAGGTTCATTTGCTCATTCTCACTGCTAATCATGAATTGAAGCGCTTCAACATCTATCCCTCTATCAATAATGTGCGTCAAAAACTCGAATATGTGGAGAGCCTCATGTCTATGGATGGGGATTATTTCTGCTCAACTCTCGCAAGAATAGAAGAACTATCTGCCAGGGAGTAGTCTGCCTTCATGGAAAGCCTATTCTGAAGTTCTGTTGGATAAGAAATTAAACAATTCTGATACATCTTTGTTTTTTTTCCATAATATGTTAGAGCACAAAGGCTAAAGTTTCTGGAGGATATATATTATATTGCTTCATTGCTCAAGGGGCATTCGAGAGTAGATCTTTTAGGTTTTTCTTACTCGCTCTTCTCTTTGTTCTTTTCTCAGTATCTTAAGTTCATATTTTGTCTGCCATTATGTAAACTTATTCCTTTTAATTATAATATTTAGAGAGCCTCATTATGTTGAATAGCCTTGCTATATATGAAATTCTTGTTTTCACATTCTGGATTTACTTTGTCTTAGCAATTTTGGTGAAAATGCGGCCACAAAACCTTTGAACATTTGAGTTTTACTTACTAAAATTTTTGTTTTATTATTTTATCATTGCACACTTTTCTTAGAAAAAAATTACGAGAGCATATTGCAATGGCAAAATGCTATACTTTGATGAAGATGGGACAATATGTTATAACATTTGTTCACACTTGCAACATTAAACCTTGTACGAAGGTTCCTAACCTTGGGAAGCTATATGAGCAGGATTTATCCCTCTGGTTACATCTAAATAACTATATGTGTGCGCGCGCGCATATATGTCACGAGTCAAAATACTTGATCTTAAAACCAGAAACTGATCTGAGCTCGTGATTTTTTCTGGTTCCTCTATTTTACTGAAATTGTAAGCCTGTATTTACCAATTTTGAAGATTTCTTGTGAGATTACGGCGAATCATGACATCGCTTCTCCTTTAAAACCGAATGACGAAGGATATTGGCCCTTGTGCATGGTTCAATTGCTCTTCATTGTGCTCCCACTATAGTCTTGCATTGTTCATCCGTTCAAATTTTAATGCTAAAGATTAATCTTGCTTTGGAAAATCATCAATTTTGAACTATAAAACCTTTTAACATGTTTGGTTTGGTTGTATCTATAATCTGGAATGGAGAAATTTAGATCAGCACTAGTTGTTGCAAACTTTATCTTTGCGCCTTTCTATTTCATCAAGAATGAATATATGGGTTTAGGTGCTCCTATATATATGAGGAATTAACTGATCTCTAGATGGAAATGAAAGATGGGAGGAAAATGGGGACTTTTAGAAGACTAGTCTGCACTATACTTTTGGTGACTTTGGTCTAAAAGACTCATTTTATCCGGTTTAAAAAATCTTTTTTTTACTAATGAATTAGTATTCATATAAATTAATTTATATAGGAGCTGAGTGTGCGTGTGAAATGATGCCACAATAATCCTTTTTTTTTTTTGTTAACTGTGGCCACCTTTTCTTTTGTGCATCAGCTGCTAGGTTTTTGTTAGGGGTGAGCAAAACCGAACCGTAACCGAAAACCGAACCGAACCGAATTTAATTTCGGTTTTTCGGTTCGGTTATTTCGGTTTTCGGTTATATATTCGGTTTTTATTTTTTAAACAATTCGGTTTCAGTGTTCGGTTCGGTTAGTAGAAAAAAAATTCGGTTATAACCGAATAACCGAAATAAATATATTATATATTTATATTTAATAAATATTATTATAATAAATATATATGTGGGTATATGTGAACTTTTTAAATATATTTATATTCAATAAATATGATTATAATAAATATTATTATAATAAATCACATTGAATGATGAAATATTTATTAATTAATGGTTATAATTGTGTTTTTTATTATTTTTAATTTAAAATTATTTTTCATATTTATATATTTCGGTTATTCGGTTAACCGAACCGAAATTTTCGGTTAATTCGGTTTCGGTTAGTTTGGTTATTCGGTTTCGGTTCGGTGTTTAAAATTTACTCTATTCGGTTATTCGGTTAATTCGGTTATCACCGATAACCGAACCGAAAAACCGAATGCTCACCCCTAGTTTTTGTTGTCAAGAGAATGTTTTTATTTTTAAAAAGAAATACAATGACTGAACTGCTCTTAAAACATACTATCTTGATTCTTAATATCAGAGTTAGTTTGACTTTTAATTTGGTCCTAAATATAAAACCTTAAAACATTTGATTACTTTATAACAATCATTGTAATGCATGTTTCTGCAAACATGTAATCAGCCTTGGTTTAATCTAAAAGATCAACGATCTCCTTCTTGATCCATTTTCTGTTATTTCTTATGAAACTTGCTACCACCCAATGGTATAATAGGTAGCTCATTCCGATAAAGACAAGCTATCTCCGTGGTTACCTTTATTCCGATCATATGTTCTATCTGTTTCTGATGAAGGTCTCATTTGTTCGGAATCACATATTCGGTATTTTGAATCTTTCCTTAAATCCCATATCTGTAATATCACCATTGGACATCTTCAGTGGTTCATACCTTGAACAATGCTTGTTTGTTTTGATTCAATGTGATGACTCATCCTGTGATCTGTCTCATTATTTTGATTTGGACCTGCAGTAAATCAGAATTTGTTATATACAAGCTCAAGGAGATGGGAAAACCAGCAGATAAAGACATCATGCTGGTCGGTGAGAATTTTGACCGGCTAGATACCGGTAAACGTGGCTATATAAAACCTGCTGATCTCATGTAGGCTAATCTTTGATAACATAAGAACCTCAGTATGGTTATCTTAAGTGCCAGAAATTTCTGTGTCTATGCCAACATGATCAATTGAAGAGGAATATCATGTAGTCTAGTTTCATACTACTACCTCCGGTTCTAAATATAAAATCTCATTTGTAATCTACAAATGAAGTCTTATATTTAGAATCTGAGATAGTATTTGCTCATTTCTTGACCCTTCATCATGATCATTGAGATAAGGCATATATGTTAAAGGTGAATGAAGCACAAGAAACCATATTTCTGTCATTATTTTTTCCTTTTGGCCTGTGTAATTTAGCAGTTTGTCTAGAAAATAAAAACATGATGAGAGCATACGATTTTTACACTTCATGCTACACAACAATTAGATTTTTTTTTTATTGGCCAGAAGAAAAAAGATTTTGTATGCGTGATTTTGTTGGAGAAATAACAAAAGCACGGAGAAGCATATTGAAGTTGTCATTCCTTGAAAATGTGTGTTCTATGGTAAAACGCTTCTTTCCTTGGCCGAAGCAAAGGAAAAACATTTTTTTATTAAAAAAAAAAAAGGAAACACATTTAATCAAGCATATTTATTAAAGGAATTAATATAATTTTCAAAATTTTTATGTCTACATTAATTAAATTATTTCAGCTTCTGTACCAATATAAAAAAATTAAACAAATGACTATTTTGCCAAAAAAAATAAATAAAAAGGAGGAAAACGTTTAAATTATTCAAAATAATTTCAGTCAAAATTAGGAATTTAGTATGATAAAGGATAAATTGATAAATAAAATTTATAAATTTTGATTAATTCTTTTTAAAATACTCCTAACTTTATATGTATTAAAATAGAAAAGACGTATGCAAGAGAGCTTACGCCATTTTACTTTATAATCATATTTTCTCTTATGGTACCAATACTAGACACTTTAAGCAAACACACATGGGGTGCGTTGGGCTAGGCGTTGTGGAACCCAAAAGTGGCTTATTGGTGTCATGAGCACGATTGTAAAATTTATGATGTTTGATGGGGCTTTTGGACCATTCCACTTATAGCCCAAAAGAGTATGATTGAATCGCACGACTTAATAAGCTCCTCATAGGAGCTTATTTTGAGTTTTATTGTGCTTGTGGCTGGTAGGAGTATACCGTTAAAGCAATTTCTCTCATTTTATTCTCTCTTGTTCTCTCATTACTCAAAAGCCCCTCACGCTCATTGTCTCATTATTAATTCATTAACATTGAAGGATGGTCGTGGCCTTAAATTAAAACACAAAATCTTCAAGTTATCAAAAAGATTAAATTGGTGAGACCGAATAACCTTACTCGGCAAAGTTTTTGAGAAGCAAGCTTATCGATAAGGCATTTGAGAAGCTTAAAACATAAAACACTTGCTACGCTAAAATCAGGAGAACTCAAAACTCAAAGTCATGATTGAGAAGATGTTTTCTAGAGAAGTTTATTGAGAAAAGCTTATATAGAGTAAAAGGATTTCAAAACATGATTCTCAAGAAGTCTATCGTTAATAAAAAGGAAAACTTAGATATATTAAAGTCAAGAACTCGAGTAGCTTATCGGGAAATGGATTTCTTAATAACTTGATTAAAAAATAGATTTCTTGATAATGTTATCAAGAAAAGCTCTTTCGAAAACTTTTAGTTTTGAAAATAAGTTCGCAAGCAGGACATTACTTGAGCTCCTTATCAAAAAGGAATTTACACGATAATTTTATTGAGTTCTCTTAATGACTTTAGAGTAAAGTGCTCAAGAAGCTTATCGGTCTCTTGAATTAGATCGTTCAATTAAAGGCCTTAACTCAAGTTGTTGCTCGGGTGGACAAATTCTTGATAACATTTTTTAGTAAGGAATCTTGTAATAGAACTCCTGATGCAAACAAAATAAAGATCAATTTTGAATGATCAGAAATCTTTCAATTCAACTCCAAATGCTACAAATGACGTATCACCAGAAAGCTCTTTATGTCTGTTTTCTAATGCAATAAATTTCACTCCAAAATTCCTTGTAATTTCGAAGTTATCTTCACTATAGTGGCTGAAGGTTAGGGACAACGTGTGAAACCCTAGTGTCATATTTCTAGCAGCATATCTCCTTCATACGAAACTCATTGGAGTTGATCTTGGTGTCCATGAGCTGTGCTCTAAGTCTAGTTTCATATACATCAATTTTTACCTTAAACAGATTTGTAGTTTAGAAAATAATTGAGAAATATCAAACATGTGTTAGAACTCAATGAAACAAAGCATAATACAGCATGTTATTTCTTGATAAAGTGTTGGAGAAGCATGAAACTCAAAAATAAACTCAAGAAACACATGTGAGAATCATCTCTGAAGCTTATATTTGAATTTTGATAAAGGGTAACTCAAGATATGTTGATATAACTTC